CAATTTTGCTGGACTGCCCAGGGCCAGAGCTGGTTCACAGCTGGCAGGATAAGACTGGCAAACAGGGAACTGTGGACCTTGCTTAAAGTTTTTTTTTCTTTTCTAATCAGTATGAGTAATTTTATGAGATGAATTTGTTTTCATCCATTGAGATGGTGTGGTTTTTTCCTCCTGTAATATATTAATAAAGTAAAATACATTATAGATTTGCTGATGTTGAGTCATCTTTAAATTCTTGGGATAAATCCTCCGTGGTCATAATGTATTTGGCGAGCAAGAATCCTCCTGCTGTGGTGTCAGTAAAACTTGTTGCTGAACGAGTACCACTGGGTGTCCAGCAAGCATGCCACTGGCAGCCATGCCCTAGGAACAAGACAGAGAAGCAGCACGCGCACCAGAGAGAAGCTCTCCTGTCTGTTCTTCTAGCGCCCTCTACTGAGAAAGCTTAACACTTTGCTAACTGGCAAAAGAAATTTACAGTAGGCATCCAGTGAAAAGCAAGGCAGTGAGGTATGAATCTGAAGCTGAGAGGCAATAAATTGATAGCTGGCACAGATGGTTTTGGGTTTTTTCTTTTCAAGTATGAGGTTTACTCTGGAGGTTTCTGGTAGATAACCTTTTTCAAGTTAAGGAAGTTTCCTTTTGGTGTTAATTTGCTAAAAGTTTTTTGTTTTTTTAAATCAAGATAACTACTCAATTTTATGAAATGGATTTTTTTTCATCCATTGAGATGATATGGTTTTCTCTCCTTTAATATGTAATAAAGTAAAATACATTGATTTGCGGATGTTGAGTCATCTTTAAATTTGGGGGATAAACTATACCTAGTCATAATGTATTATTCTTTTAATAGACTGCTAGAACTGATTTACAGACTTTTATTTTGTATTTATATACTCCATAAGTGAGATTAACCTATACATTTCCTTTGTGGTGCTGCTTTGTTGTATTGCTATCAGAGTTATGCTAGCTTGGCAGTATGAGTTGGAAGCTTTCTCTTTTTATGCTCTGAAACCTAAAAATATAAATAAAACAAAACAGATTATCTGTTCCCTTGAAGCTTGGTAAGATTCAGTCATAAACAATTTTGTCTGAGTATCCTTTTTTTTTTTTTTTTTGTCTTTTGTCTTTTTCCGTGTCCGGCAACGGATCGCAACCCTCAGTGTTGCCCCCGTACCGGACCGGAGACCGGCGACGGGATTGGAACCCTCGGTGTTGCTCCCGCGCCTCGCTCAGCCAGTGAGCGGGAACCGGTCTGTATGTGTGATCCGAACCTTTGGGCGGGAGCGCCGCCGCGCTTCCCAAGCGGCGCACTATCCAGTGCGCCACCGGGCCGGCCCCCTGAGTATCCATTTTTAAGGGGAGATATTTGGCTACCTTTTCAACTTTTTAAATGATTATTCATCTCTTCACTTTTCAAATCTCTTTTTGAGTCATTTTTTGTAATTTATGTCTTCCTAGAAAATAATCCATTTCATCTAAACACTGATTTCAAATTTATTAGTATAAAGCTGTGCTCTATCGTCTCTTACAACTTTAAAATTTCCTTCCGGGCCGGCCTGGTGGCGCACTGCTACAGTGCGCCGCTTGGGAGTGCGGCGGCGCTCCCGCCGAGGGTTCGGATCCCACATACAGACCGGTTCCCGCTCACTGGCTGAGCGAGGTGCGGGCGCAACACTGAGGGTTGTGATCCCGTTGCCGGTCCCGGTCCGGTACGGGCGCGACACTGAGGGTTGCGATCCGTTGCCGGACACGAAAAAAAGACAAAAAGAAAAAAAATAAAAATAAAAAAAATAAAATTTCCTTCATTTTTGTAATTATATCATCTTTTTCACTGATTCTACTTTTAAAAAAAAAATGTGTGCTTTCCTTTTTTCTGGCTGGAACTTGTTAAAGGTTTGACCATTTTATTGGTCTTTGCAAAAAAAATCTTTTGCTTTTTTGGGCAAGTCTGTTTTTTTCTCTGCCACATTAGGTTTTGCTTTGAGTAATTTTCTTATACTTTCTTTGATTTTGTGTTGCTAATCTGTCTAGTTTCCTAAATGTTCAATTCATTTTTTGAACTTTTATTATTTTCTAGTTAAATGTGTGTAAACCAATATATTTTCTGAGTACTGTTTGGCTGTAATATACAGATTTTGATACATAGTGCTCACATTGTCATTCCTTTCCAAATGATTTATAGTTTACAATTTGTCATTTCTTCTTTAACTCAGAGTTATTTAAAAGGTTGTTTATTAAATATTTAAGTAGATGGAGTTGGCACAGGCTTTCTATTGCTCACAAGAACGCTTTGATGTTTGTGCTATAAACCTCCCAACCCTTTGAACTTTATGCTCTTATTGTCTTGTGCTGTGGTCTCAGAACGTGAAGCATAAGATTAATAATGCTTGTTGGAATTTGTCGAGCTCTTATTTGGCCTTAATATATGGGGTCAGGTTATGTGAATATTCCATGGTTATTTGAAAAAAATCTCTATTCTTTGTTAGGTACAAAGATGTATAAATGTCTGTTATTCTAGCTGTCAAATTCTTCGTTTTGTTATTTATTTTAGTCTGCCTGAGAATCTATTGATTTCAGAGAAGTGTGATAGTTTTCTAAGATGATTGTAGATCTGCCAATTTCTTGTATTTCTAATAATTTTTGCTTTATATATTCCAAAATGTTATTAGAATATAAAGGTTCATAAGTGTAATATCTTCTTAATAGAGTGTGTCTTTTATCAGTGTAAAAATGCCCTTTTGTCTCATTTATTATTTTTGGTTCAAATACTATTTTGCCAGATATTAATTGCCAAACCTACTTTCTTTTTGCTGTGGTTGTTTTGTTTTAGCTGTAGTTCTTGTAAGTAGTGTATAGCTAGATTTTTTTTAAAAAAAAGAAAAAAAAGGGAGAGTCTTTCTTTTGATAGGGATTGCAATGGGCTGAATTTTTATGTCCCCCCCCCCCCAAATTCTTATGTTGAAATTCTAACTCCCAAGGTGGTAGTATTAAGAAGTGGAGCCATGGGCTGGCCATTTAGCTCAGTTGGTTAGAGCACAATGCTGATAACACCATGGTGAAAGGTTTGGATTCCCGTACTGGCCAGCTGCCAACCCCTGCAAAAGTGGGGCCTTTGGGAAATGATTTGATCATGAGGGTGGATCCCTCATGAATAGGATTAGTGCCCTATTAATACCCTAGACAGATCCCTTGCCCATTCCACCATGTGAGGTTAAAACAAAAAGGTGGCAGTCTAGAAAGTAGGCCCTTACCAGACATGGAATCTGCCACTGCCTTGATCTTGGACTTCCCAGCCTCCAGAACTGTGAGAAATAAATTTCTGTTGTTTATAATGCACCCAGTCTGTGGTATTCTGTTATAGTAGCCCAAATGGACTAAGATGGATGGAATTATCACAGTTTACTTTTATCATGAGTTTTCATTTGTACTTAATTTTTCCATTTTATGATTACTGCTTCTCAAACTTTCTAGTTGTTTCCTTCCTCCTTAAATTTTCATGGATTGATGGAATTTTTGTTTTCGCTTTCTAGTGCAAACTCCAGTTCTTTGCATATCACTTTCATAGTTTGGTAATATCTGCATACCACGGTGTTATTATTTAATATTTTCTACCTAGTTACTCACCTAAACAATGACATAACTTATTTTAAATTAAAGTTTTTATATCATCACTACAAAAGGAGAACCAGTATCACCTGCTATAAATAGAAATTGATGTAAATAGAAGTACAATAAATGCCAAATGATGTTATTACATTTTAGTCAGATCCTTTTGCCTGCCTGGAGCCTGTTTTCTCTTTGTGAAAATTGTTCAACAGACAAGTTTAAACTTTAACTGAGTTTATTTGAGGAAAGAAAAACAAAGCAAAGCAGAGCAAAGCAAAGCAAAACAAAAGAAAACAAAAATGATTTGTGAATTGGGCAGCCAAGAGAACCGCAACCAAAACATGATCTGACATTTATAGGAAACAGAAATGCAGTGTAGAGCCAGCTTAATTGGTTACAGTTCTATTGGTTAACTGGTTACAGAGCCTCCTTCAGTTAACTAAAGCTCAGCTACTGTAGTTATACTCAGTATTAGTTTGGTCTGTTAGGCTTAATGCTGGCCACCCACAAATTTTATTTGACAAAATAAATGTGTTAAGAATAAGAAAGATGTAAGAGATGTGATAGCACCAAACTGATATGCTCTCTACCTTAATCAGAATGATTGACTATGAATCATTTTTCTAAAAAACTTCTATGCTATGTACCACCTAAAGTCATCTCTCAATGTCCCACTCTTGAAGTACATGCTTTGGGAATTTGGAAGTTATCCATTTCTGTTCTTTTAATGGTAACCTTTAAAATTTTAACATACATATTTAAGACTTTTTCTTTCTTGTAACTCTAGAATTAATCAATATTAATTGATTCTTGGCAGAGCTTTCACTTACCTCTTCTCTCCCTCTTCTACATCCCATGTTGAAATGCTAGGTTGGCTAGGTATAGAATCTTTGATTCACATTCATTTTCTTTTAGAATTTTGAAGGCATCATATCCTTCTTGACTAATATTTAATGCTGTCAATCAAGGAGACATCTCATGTCATTCCTTATCCTTCAGAATTTTCTACCTACCTTTTATTTCTCTTCTCTTCACTGCAATTTCCTTACCCACACATCTGGAAGACCCTCCTCCCCCTATTTTTAAATTGAGTTACATACACACAGTAAAATTCACAAATGGTGAGTGTATAGTTTGATATTTACAAATGTACACTCATGTAACCATCACCCAGATAGAGATATAACATTCATAGCATCCCAGAGGTCTCTCTCTTATGCACCATTCCTAATCAGCAATTCCACCCTCCCCCCAGATGAGTAACCACTTTTCTGACTTTTATTGCTATAGAAAAGTTTTGCTTGTTCTTGAACCTTATAAAAATGGAATCATACAGTGTATTACTGTTTTGTGTCTGGTGGAAGCCATGTTTTCATGTTCTTTCCAAATAGAAACTTGAGGAGAAGCTAGAGTTCTGGATGGATAAATTTGATAAGGACACAGAAATGAAACAGAATGAACTAAATGCTCTCAAAGCTGCAAAGGCCAGTGACTTATCACACCTTCAAGACCTTGCAAAGATGGTAAGAAGTCATAAGGGTGCTCCCTGAGGAGTGAGGGGTAGCTAAACTACAGTAGCTAAGTAATACTATTTTTGGTGAAAAGTAGAAGTGTGCAGGTAAATCAGTGGGATTTTTTTTAGATGATGATGATGATGGGGACAATAGTAGTAGCTAACATTTATGTAATACTCACTCTGACCCAGGCACTTTTCTCGTATTTTACATATATAACTTATTTAACCCTCACAAGCCCTTGAGATAGATACTATTATTATTTTCACTTTATGGTCTCTGAAGACATTTTGTAAATGGTAACTTCTAAAAAGCCTGTGAGTATGATTTCATCATCAAATAAGCATAGAACTTCCCAAATTTCTCTTTTAAAGGAAAGCTATTTGTATATGTACGTTCTACCAAAGTTTTAAAAAATCACATTATTTTGAGATCATTAATCACACACTGAGTATTTCATTTTTATGAAAGATTTTAAAACTTAAATTTGAATTATTCAAATGAAAAATTGGGGGAACAATTATAAAGTTAATCTGTAAATATTTACAAACTAGGAATGTAGTAATTTTTTTCCCCTTTGGTTTAGATTTAGCACGTTTTTTTTTTTTCCTTTTTGTCTTTTTTTGTGACCAGCAACGGATCGCAACCCTCAGTGTCGCGCCCGTACCGGACCGGGACCGGCAACGGGATTGCAACCCTTGGTGTTGCGCCCACACCTCGCTCAGCTAGTGAGCGGGAACCAGTGAGCAGTCTGCATGTGGGATCCGAACCCTCGGCGGGAGCACTGCCGCGCTCCCAAGCGGCGCACTGTAGCAGTGCGCCACCGGGCTGGCCGATTTAGCACGTTTTATTTTAAATTTTTGTATTAAAAGTGCAAGACTGGCTGTGCCACAGTTTAGCCGAGAATATTGTAACATATGATTAATGTCTACTTTTACAGATAAGGGAGTACGAACAGGTCATCATTGAAGATCGTCTAGAAAAGGAGAGGAGCAGGAAGAAGGCAGAACAGTTTCTCCTGGAATTAAAAAGCGCCATAAAGGTAGAAAACCATAAATGGCATCTTGATGCCCCGTCAGTGCCATAGCTGGCCTAACATTGAGGAACGCAAAGCATTCCTCATTCATTATCAAAGACGTAGCAGTTTGCAACGGAATAGGAGATCTGTGAGGAAGCATAGCCTTTTGTTATCACTGGAGTTTGCCAACACAGTCCATAGTGCAGGGAGACAGTTGACATAGAAAAGGATGTATTCCCAGGTCTTGGTGTTATCAACACCACACTCTTGACCAAATGAGTTAACTTGCATGTCCTTATTTGTACATTTTTTTTTCTTCTTTTTTGTGACCGGTAAGGGGATCACAACCCTTGGCTTGGTGTCGCCCGCACCACGCTCAGCCAGTGAGCGCACCGGTCATCCCTATATAGGATCTGAACCCGTGGTGGGAGCACCGCAGCGCTCCCAGCGTCGCACTCTCCCGAGTGAGCCATGGGGTCGGCCCCTTATTTGTACATTTTTGACTGAGAGCTTGCTTTTGCCCCTGGCCTGGGTAACCGAAATTCCTTTTGGATCAAATAGTTGTTAGGTATGGGGAACTTGGACGCTCATAAAGGGAAGCAGTATAAGGAAGTCAGGTTTCTAAGTGTGAAGGAAAAATTGGCCTAACCAGATTCCTTTTCTTTATTTTTACTCCTTGAGAGCTTCATTCTTGGTCCAGGGCTTAAGCTCTGGGTCCCGTACAACAGGGAAACGTCACAGTATTGACAGTGTGCCTGGCCACTTCATGTCCCAGATAAAGTAGCTTCTGTGTGAAGAATGGTCTCTATCAAACAGTCCCTGTGGGTGGAAAGAACGTAGCTTGTCAGGCACACTGTAAATTGTACTCATTCCCCCCTTCTCTTCCAGCTCCAGGCCTGGTGGCGAGGCACTATGGTACGAAAGGAAATTGGTGGCTTCAGAATGCCTAGGGATAAAGATGATAGCAAGGATGCAAAAGGTAAAGGCAAAGACAAGGATAAGCGGAGAGGCAAGAAGTGACCAAGTTATCTTTCATCCTTTCCTCCTGTATTATGGAGCTGGGAAGGACCTGGAGGGAGTAAGAAACATCTTATACCATCACAGATAACTCATCTACAGATTTCTTATTTGGACATTCTCAGGTGACGCCTGGTGATTCCATTTTGCCTGTTATATTAGTTTTCAAACCCCAAGTTAGGATTATACCACCGATTTAGGGCTTTTTCATATTTTGAATTTTGCTGTGAAGAAATGTTTCTAGTAGCCTTGTGAAGATCCCTCTTGCTCTTTCTCACCAGAAAAATACAGTTCATGGGCTTAGTTAGTTACACTTCAGTAATTCCTGTGATGTTTTGTGAGTCTGATTTTATTCAATTTGTCTTTAGTGAAAAAACTCTTATGAGCAAGTATTCAGTAGGAATTACGAGATGTTTATGAAGTGTCTAGCATAATATATACACAGTAAAGTTTTAATAAATGTTGGTTCCTTCCAGCCTTTTAGATTTATCACTTTAGAGTTTTTACTGGGTGGGGGTGGCATGGAATACACATCCCATTATAAGCTGCTTCAGCAACTTTTCTGGGAAATGGGTAGGGATATAAACTATAAATACAAGACAGAAATAGAAATAGGATGTTAGGATGAACAACCCATAAACAGTAAAGATGGACAGGTTCTCTGGAAGGCTAGTTTGGAAATATTTTTTCATAAGTAAGAAACTAGGTTCTATACCTGCTTTGCTTACTCAACAATTCCCACCTATGGGGTGTTAAGACTAAAAGAGATAAGGTATGTGAAATACTTGACTCGTGCCTGGCTCACAGAAAGGTTGATTAAGTGTTTGTCATTCTCCCTCCTTTCCTAAAGAACAGTGAGCCCACTAGGTGATTCTCGCCTTGGTTAATCAAAATAGAACGTCTTAGGATGCTTTCCCTTCAGCATAGCTGATAATTTCCGAGAGAAAAGTTGTCCTAATGTGTCCCATATATCTCAAGAATTAAGCCTTCTATCTAACTCCAAATATAGAGTAATCTTGATATCTTTACTTCCTTAAGGAAGTCAATTTTGACCTCAAAGGCCTATTATGGAGCCTGTTTCTACTGATGTTCATTTAGGGAATTAGATACTCTTTCTTTGATTCATCTTTGCCAAGGGAACTATGCTGTAGATGTGAATCTTTTCAAATCAGCCTTTATTACATGCTACTGAAGTGTTAGCTTTTATTTTAATGTCAACATATAAGGTGGCATGCAGACAATTTAAAATAACATACATGATATTGACATATTTATACTTAGGACTTAGGCAATATATTTACAAACATACAAATATAGGACAGTGTTTTACAAAATCTTTTACTAATTACATGTTTACAACATTTTCAGTAATAAAATGTAATCTGCTGTAAACCATCTCACTGCAATTTGTATAGAAAAAAGCTTCTAAGTATCTTTATTTTCCTTCATTTCTATAACAATTTAAGTGCTTGGTTTTTAAAATTCATCAGACTCATAGCCATAAAAACACATCATTAGTCACTGCTGAACTGTAGAAAGTAAGAGAAATCACAGACTCCTTGATTAGCTGTAAGGCTGTATATTAAAAAGCTATTAAGGAAGGTGACCTACTACTAAGCATTTTCCTACTCTGTGTTCTAGCCAAAAACAAAGGCCCCTCCTTCCAGAGTTGTTTCCAGACCTGGTTATTACAAGAGAAAATTGGTTTGGAGTGCTAAACAGAGATGAGTTTGGAAGTCTGGAAACTGCTGACATAAAATCTCCATAGGTGGCAGGGGCCCTGCTGGGTGGGCACTGAGCCTGTTCACATTTTCAATGCTGAGAGGGTCACTGCTTCAGGCTAGGGGGAATCGTGACAAAGTCATCTGCACCTTATACTGGAGTCTAGCAAGGAGGTACATACAAAACAATGAATACAAAAATTCTCCAACAAAAACATTATTTGTTTTTGTATCTTGACATAGAAAAGAACTTCAATATATTTGATATTTTTCCTTCATTATCAACCAAAACTGTACACATTTTTTCCTAACAATTCAAATACAAATTTGAAGTAGTTTGATAAAAATACATTAATAAAGTTTCATGTTATGTGCAAAATTTCAAATAAGTTGAAATTCCCATTTATTCCTATGGGAAAATTAGTCACAAATGTTGTGAGTACTGCATTATGTAATGTCTTCTGGAATTATTCCTTATAAACTGTTAAAAATAGTACTGTCCTTTGCTGAGTTTCATTTCTGGTGATGTATAATTTGGAGATTGTACTGAGGTTTAATGCTGACTAGAAGGAAAAATACCTAATAGTTTAAAAATATACACAGCTAAATTCTAAACAAGTAACATGGTTGGTGGGTCTGTTTTGGAATTGTAATGGGTCTGGCTCTAAGCACTTATAAGACATTTTACTTTTGTTCTGTGAGGACCTTGAAGTATTTGGGCTTTGAGCTCAGATGTTTTACGTTATATAATTTTTAATTTGGACAAAGTGGTAATGTTCTGATGAATGTGTTTCTCTGCAAGAACAAGGAGAAAACATTACTTTGACCAGATACTCAACATGATTTTCTCCAAAGCTACTTTTAGATGCTACATTTACATGATTTAAAAAAAAGGGATAACATGCTCAAATGCACATGCATTGGTAAAGAACATCCAGAACGGTTAGCAACTACAGTAAAAAAAAATTAGATAACTAGCATCTTCTCTTTATTTACTTGGTTTACAAAGGCAGTGAATACCAAAATATATCACTGACAACTAAAAGGGGTTCAAAACAGAAGGGAAAACCCAAGTGGTCTGAACTTGAATAAAGGCTCCTGAACTTGTGTTGTGTGAGCCCTTGGGCCGTTTTACTCCATCCATAATTGAGTATACAAGGCACTAGTGGTGGACCTAGATGCAGCAGTAGGTGGAAAGGCAGGGAGCTCTTTTTAAGATGCCATAAGTGCTTTAATTTAGCCACAGAAACTGGCATTTACCTAACAGAAACATAAGAGACTTGGCTTTTCCTTTATTGCCTTTTGCTTTGTTTTCATAATCTTCCATTAGTTGGGGAGCTGGAAGTGTATCTGCTGGGACTGGAATGTGGTTGCAGGTCCAGGTATCCTAGGAGCAGCATGGGGGGCAGGGGAGGATGGATCAATGAAATCAATGTAAATGATGCAGGGTAGCACATTACCAGCTTAAGGATTTGGGACACATGTATAGTGCTTGTTGACAATATTTAGATAATAGCAGGATGATACAACACAGAACCAACCTTTACAAAAAGATGATGTGGTGGTGGACTGGAGTTGGAGGGAGGCCTAGAAAACTGGCCTTAAATACAACTAACTGTATCTATTTCACTGTTTTACTATGCAAAATCTAGGCCTTCTATATTATTTTTGTTTTGACTTTTTTTTTTTCCTTTTTGTCTTTTTTCGTGACCGGTAACAGGATGGCAACCCTCGGTGTCGCGCCCGCACCGCGCTCAACCAGTGAGCGGACCGGTCTCTATATCTCTATATGGGATCCGAACCCTCGGTGGGAGCGCTGCCACGCTCCCAAGCGCTGCACTCTACCGAGTGCGCCACCGGGCCGGCCCTTGTTTTGACTTTGAAAGAATAGTCCAAGTCATCATACTATAGCTTTTGATGTTAAACGTGACTGAAAAATTCAGTGGGGCATTACCCAAAAAACATACAAATATCTAGCTTAGAACAGTGGTCTCTACTACATGAAAAACACCTGCAATGTTTGTTGAAAATGCAGATTCCCATGCCTCACCCCAGACCTACTGAATGCAAATCTGAATTTTAACAAATGCTCCAGGAGATTCTAATGAATAACCAGTTTAGAAACCAGTGGACTTGGTTTACCTGTCTGAGAGCAGGTAAAGGTAATAGCATGCCTGTGCTTTCAAGAGAGCTAAACATCCTTCTGAGATGTTCTTTCCGGTCTGTGAAATAAGCCTAGCTATGAATTCACAGCCAGTTCAGACTTTGGTGTTGGGTTCTCAGTAACGAGAGAAGTTTCATTTGAGAAAACCAACAGCGTATTCATAAAAAAATTCAGTGGAAATGGGTATAACCTCCCCTAAAATGGAGAAATGAAGCAAAATATTCCTGTTAGGAATCATGAAAACAGTCCCTTCTAAGAACACGTACGAGCTTTGTTTAAGCAGACGGCTGGCAGCAGCAATCATGTTGTCCTGTTCCTTTTTTGGCCAGGCCAATGCCCAAGTTCCCAGGAGTCCTTAAACAGCAGATAACTGGTGCTGCTGTTGCTTGGGTGGGGCAAGTTCCAGGAGAGCCTGGACCGTCACTGCAACCTGGCTCAAACCTTTCTCTTCTAAAATGTGGAGAGGCAAACATAATTGCTCCTGAAATGGGGTAACATAACATAAAAACAAAAGAGAAAATTGGATGAACATCAGAGAACTGAAAGGAAAAAATAAGCACATCTCCCCTTAAATAATAATCAACTGAGATATGAAAAGTCAGTACCTGGGAAACTGACCTCTGTTAGTGTGAGTTAGGTAAAGATGGTGTCTGACACTGTCACTTTATTAATACAACTAAAAGTACATATAGATCATTTTGAAAATTGGAAAATTGACAAATAGCGCACATTTATACATATAACAGAGGAAAAACAGAATACTGTGGAGTGAAAGCAACATCCTTTAACCTTGATAAATAACAGACCAATGCAGATCTATACAGTAGGCAGGTGAAAAACAGAAAAACAGTTCCAAGTTACCAGATGGCTCAAGTCTGAAGGATATAACAATTTAGAAGAAAGCACTTTGGAAATTACATACCACAGGAATGCAAGACGGTTTCATGACATAACTCAGGCTGCATGAGAGGGAATGCCCACAATCTGCATTATTATCCTGTTTCTGAAAACCAGGTTTCTCAGACCGGGCAGGGATCAGAAGAAGAAACTGAGTGTCTCCTGAGCTCTTGAGATATCGATGTATTTCAGAAACTTTCCCCTAATTTGGATAATTGATGGAAGGCCTGGTCTGAACAAGTTAAAAATCTGAATTACAGAATTAAAAATAAATTATATTTGAAAAAGTAAAGTATTTCATATCTGGTATTTAATGGATTGAATCATGCTGGAGAACTATTATGTGAGCTTAGTCAGGAACATCTTAACTACCGAAATGTTTACATATTTGAAGTTAAATACATCTATCTTGTTTGCCTCATTCATTTGTTTGGTTCATCCTTTCTTACAAGAGAAAAAGGTAAATCGTAAGAATAACACTAAGTGGCTTTTGTGTTAAGACTAAATATTCAGAAAAAAAAGAGACTGCTCTAACAAAGAACAGAAAGTGGGATTCTGGTTCCACTAAAAAAAAGATTATACACTTTTATTAAAGATAACTGGGGGAGCTGGCTGGTTAGGTCAGTTGGTTAGAGTGCAGCCTTATAAAACCAAGGTCATGGGTTCAAATCCCTGTGCCGGCCAGCTGCCAAAAAAAAAAAAAAAAAAAGAAAAAGAAGATAACTGGATTTTTTTCCTGCTTTTCATCAGCACTCACTCTATTACTAGAGTTTTACAAAACCAGTTGCAATAAAAAAATAGCAAATATTTATTTTTGAGGTAATTATTGGTACTGTGCTTCTTAATTTTTTATTTAATACTTATTTTGATAAAAGAAGGTAACTGCAATCTCTTGATCTAATAAAACTAACAACCAAAGTTTAATAAAACACAACTGCAAGTATAGACTAACTATACTTAAAATGAATCTGCATGTGTTTTGCTCTTGGAAGAAACATATTTTCTCCAAGGCCAATTTCCTGATCTCTTCCTCTCAGTAGTACCCTGTGACTTGTGTGGCCCAGTGGTTTAGATATTCCTGAGAGGCTTATGCTTTCTAGATGCACATTTACCTTCCAGCTGGCTTAGAAGGAATGCTGTGTGTTCAAGAGAATCCACCATTACTAGCCCTAAACCACACGTGTGCATTATTTTCTTAACAGGTGTTTTTCTAAAGGGACAAAACTCAACAAAACTCTGAGACTGATCTGTGACTCGAAGACATCTTAAACATAAGACGGGCTGAGCCCGTGGCGCACTCGGGAGAGTGCAGGGCTGGGAGCACAGCAGCGCTCCTGCCGCGGGTTCGGATCCTATATAGGGATGACTGGTGCGCTCACAGTGCTCACTGGCTGAGCGCGGTGTGGCCGGTCTCAAAAAAAAAAAAAAAAAAAAAAAGACAAACCACAACCTCCCAAACTCTGGAAGGCACTACTACCACTGTATAAAACTCAAGTTTTCATCACAGTGTTCACTGTTTCAGCATTAACAGAGAATAGTCTTTTAGTGTGTTAAATAACTGTCCCATTTAATATAGAAGAAAACCAAAGGAATCAAACCCTCAGGCTGAATTCAACAACAAGCTGTTATGTTCCTTGCAATTTCCCTTAATACTTGTGTTCCGTGGTCCAATTTTAACAGAGTTCAGAAGATTCCTGAATGTTCAGAAACACCATGTATGAGAATTAGAATCTGAATGCAATTATAAAGTAGTTTCAAGCATTAAGGTCTAGCAGCTAATATACTAAGCATTTTTTTTTTTTTTTTTAAAAGATGACCGGTGAGTAGATCTTAACCCTTGACTTGGTGTTGTCAGCACCACACTCTCCCAAGTGAGCCATGGGCCGGCCCAATATACTAAGCATTCTGAAAGCATTTGAGTACAGAAGAGAAACTGCTAACACTTTACCTGCTACCATTCAGATATAATCTCCCCAATGGCCTATAAAACACAAGTTTACCTATTAAGATGGTTCAAATACATTAGAAATTAACATATATTCCACTTTTAAATTCTAAATAAAATTTTAGAAGTGAATCTCAGTTAAGGATAACAAACACAGTAAATCTGGACAGGTACCTACTCCTGAAAGGTCAGCTCCAGATCATTTGCTTATTTTTCTATTTTAAATGTGCATAATGGGCTCAGAATAGCAACACAGGGAACCTACATTATCTCTTTGCTTAACATTCTGACCAAACTAAAATTACTAAGATTAAATGTCCAGTGCCTTATAAATGTCCAGACAGCAAATGCTTAGATGGACTTATGCCTACCAGTTAAGGGAGAGTTCATGATCTCAATGAAGAGATCTAAGTGACCAGGTGCCCCCAAAACCAGAAAGGTATGATGTTTTTCCTCATGAACAGCTGTTGAAAAGTTTCAGCAACTCATAATTTCAACATGTAAGCTGTGCTGAGTCATGGAAAAATGGCCAGATGTATATTTTATTGTGTCATTTAGAAATAAAGTTCTACACGTCATATTCTAAGAACAGATTTAGGATTGTATTAGTAGAAATGCTTCAGCATTTATGGTAAGAGAAACAAGGCCACAGGCCAGGAATAAAAATGCTGGTTTTTACTCTTTGTTAACAGTCATAAATGCTTAGTGAGATGGGCTGGTCACCTGGACATATGAGGAAAGGATTTATCTACTTTATTGGTTAGCTCCTTGATAGCTGGGACCAGGGTAGGATGGGGTAGAGGTGGGTGTCATATGTAAATAATTATGAATGAGAAACAAACCCCCTTTACCAAGCACAGGAATGAGGTGGAAAATCACTGGAATGCAATCTTTCAGCTAGAGGGGGAAAATCCAGTAATAAAGCATACAGAGAGTAAACATTAAAGTACAATAAAATGCCACAAAACCCAGAAGTTGGATAGATAGAAAGACAAAACTGGATTCTTCTGAATGTGACCCAAGAGAAAGTAGTGTTTCAACAGTTCTTTTAACGCTGAGGTTTAGCTGAAGGATGTCGGAAGGGGAACAAAGATTGTCCTGTCCAAAGTGTGAGCAGGAAAGGAAAACAGAAAACAAAGTCAGTGATTAGATATGTAGATTTAAGTACAGAATTCAATATGATCATCTCAATCATATTCAAAGATATACATCCTGTAATATTTTTACTATGATATGAAAAATGATGAAAATAAAATGCTGAAAAACAAAACTACAAAGAATCTATGTGCTGAACTTGATTTTACTACTAAATAGCACAATAAAATCTGCCTGTTGGTGACCAATATAAACATTAAGGATTCAATTAACAGAATTGGATGTTGGCTCAGGAAATCATTATTACATCCCCCATTTTCTTTTCAGGCCAACAGAGCAAATGGGGGTGTTTAGATAAAGGCCAGAATGCCCAGAAATAGGGGAGAACAGAAGAAAAGTAGATAAAGGTTTCTTCTTTCTTCCTGTGGCAGAGGGACCTGAAAATGCTAGTTTGAAACTACGAGTCTATATTTATTTTCCTTCACTTTGTTCTAGGCAAATGACTAATTTTTCAGCAGAAGTAGCAGCATAACAGGAACCCATCTAAAATTGGTATGGTAGGGACTTGGGTGAAAGGAAGAAGAGGAAAAGGAACAGGTGGGCTATGTGGAATGTCCATTTCCTCTTTCTGGTAAGTTAGAGGAGAGGGAGGAAGGATGTGTTAAGAACCCCAGGCTAACCACTCTGGAAAAAAGATTCAGACTTGTAAATTGCATTTTTTCTATCTCTGTACTTGCTTTCAAATAGTACAGCTCTGGTAGGAACAGGGGCAGGCTGGCCCATAATAAATACTGTTAACCACTGCTTGGCAAATGCTGACTTAAATGCATGTTTTAAGGCACACTGTTTTTGTAGTTTGCTGACTGATGGCAGGAACATTCTGAAAGAATTCCAGTGTAGGGACTAAATCTGAAAGAATGAATCTGTAAAGCCTAGTGGACAGGTATAATGACTGTAAATGCCAGTAAACAGTACTTTTAACAGGTTTTGACACAGGCTAAGTCAGCATGTCTTGATTGTGTGGGGCTGCTTTCAGCACTCTTCTATTTGTGTGGTGCCTCTTTTGATCACTCATATCTTTTCTGTAGTCATATCTTTTCACTCTCTGCTCCAACCATGCCCCATTCTCTTGTCCAAAGATATCGTGGTATGGAAGTGGAACAGGTACTAAGCATAAATGTTTTTTAAGTATTTAAATTGTTTAAATAAACAATTTGTGTAAGCAGAAACATCTTCAATATGCAGAAGGGAAAAACTGAATGCTAATGTGCCATATGAATATTATAACTTGCTTATTAATACAGAGAAAATGCATGCTATTTCTGTACAAACCATATTAAACGCTCTTAATTTGCTTAAAAATGGCTTGTTCTAAAAGAGATGATGAACCTTTGTAAAGCCACATGATATAAAAATGAAACATTTGCTTTGAATTTGTCCACAGGAATAAAAAAGGTCCTTGTTAACTACTACTGTATGTATATTTCAGTTCTTTTTCATAACTTGAGTTTAAAAGAGAAAAAAACCCAGCAAAATAAGAGTGAAAAAAAATTAGTAGAATGATGATTATAAGTATAATAAAAGGAGAACAATCATGGGAATTCGTGCTGGCTAATGCAGATGCTCCGTGGAACTGAGCTCTTTCTCTTCCACTTTGTAACATGTAAAAGAGCTGAAAGAGAAGGTTGCTCATTGGACAAGTGATGCTGTGGCTTTCTCAACTCCTGGTTAATTAGGGTCACTGTTGTGAAAGCTACTGGAACAAGGGCTTAACTTTGAGAGAAAGAGTGGAGTTATAGATGAATCCACGTAGGACCAATACTTAAGTTTCTCATAGTTCATTAAGAAGGTGATAGAAAAAAGGCATGTTTTTTTCCTTGCAGGTTGGAAAAAATATAACAAGAAATGTAATGGTTGTGGTTAATGAAAAAAGTATTGAATAGCACCATGTTATTTATTCCTTTAAATGTGCCTATATATCTTGTCATTAAATACAATATTCCTTAAGAGTACCATGCTTAGTTGTTTGCATTTATTTATTTATTTAATTAATTAAAAGATGACCGGTAAGGGGATCTGAACCTGTGGCCTTGGTGTTATCAGCACCACGCTCTCCCGAGTGAGCCACGGGCCGGCCCCTTAGTTGTTTAATATAATTGTTTTCTTAAAAGGGTTACTGAATAAAAAGTGTACCAAGTTTGTTTCCCTTAATCATGGCTATAAATAAAGTTTAACTATTTTTACTATTAAAGGGCAGTAAAATTATAACTGAGGAACCTGGAGGCACTAAATCCTAATAGTAGGACAAGTATTTAGAAATGGCCTCTTGTATGCTAAACTCCAAAATATTAGCACTTTTTAAAACTTTATTATTTTATTTCACCATTTTTTTAAAATGGTGAAATATTAATAAAGTCCATAATTTAGTTAATAGTATTGTTCCAGGGTTATTTAATTTGGGTAACTGTACTACATTTATATTAGATGTTAACATTAAGGGGAATTAGATAAAATATAACAGGAACTCTGTGCTATTACTATAGCATTTCTGGAAGTCTAAAATTATTTCAAAATAAACATTTTTTAAAGTATTAAAGTGTTAAAAAACTAAAGCCAACAGAAGCATTCTCAGTCTGAGATGTACTTATTTTGATGGATAGGTTCTGTTGAGTATGTAGTTGTACACAAGTCAAACAGCAAGTGGGGATGTTCAAGAAAACAGAATATTTTTGATTAATTCCTTATTACAATATAATCATTTAAATTTAAATGTTATGATTTCTTCACATGATCCTTGGAAATAATTAAGGAAAACTGTTCAAAAGTATATTGATTGACTCTTAAAACACAAAATCACGTTAGTAATGATCAACTTAGTTCTGAGTTAGTCTTGTAAGAATTTAGACTTGCATTTCTGATAGATTTCAGAACAGTAATACCCAAGTCTATCTAGGCAACATAAAAGATGATAAATTTATTACCGGAGGTACACCAATTTTTTTGCAAGCTTCTAGGAAATTCTCCACATTTCGCCTGCATTTTGCCATTGTTAATTTAGGCTGCAATGAGAAAAGAAAGGACGGAAAATGTGGTGTTACTAGCAAAGTTTTAACAACTTTTCTAACTTTAAAAATACTCTTGCCTATTGCTTCATATATTCACAATGCTGTAGATTAGGGGGTTAGCAAACTTTTTCTTAAAGGATCAGATAACAAATGTTAGTCTTGAGGATCATTAAGAACTATTGCAACTACTCAATTCTGCTAGGATCTTGCAGGCAACTACAGACTATATATATATATTGTTTATAAACAGATAAGTGTAACTGAGTTGCAATAAAACTATTTACAAAAATAGGTGCTGGCATGTGGGCAGTAGTTTGCCACTTTCCCTCCCCCCACTTTACACATTTGGCTTTGATTTTGTAAGGCAAGTGCTAAGTATATAAGTTTTGGGGGAGATAGTAAAAAAAAAATTTTTTTTCCATTTTAAAACATTATACACTAAAGAAAACTTAGAGGAATATCAAGAAATTACAAAGAGCTCATCACTCAAATATAACACATGGTTTATTCCCTTTCAGTCTTCTTAAAAGAAGATAATTTTTAAAAAATCAATAGCCTTGGCTCATGAATATACTATAGATGTATCATGTCTCCACTCGATAGCAAAATTTAAATTTTTAAAAACCTTTGTAAAAGATTGGGTTAAAGAACTATTTTCCAAAGGGTGAAACATTTCCATGGGAATTTTCCCTAATTACTAACTAGTAAGCTTGTTTTTCTGTAAAAATCTCTAATGACTAGAAACAGAGTTGCATCACATGAACTAAAGTTTTGATCAAGTTTTTCACACAGCAGGTTATCATGGAATAAAATACAAGAAAGAAATATGAATCCCATTTTCCTGAATGGTTAACAAATTCAGTTATACAAATCCATTAGCTGGTATCTAACATGTTCAAGTATCAGGCCTGGAAGCCAAATGTTTGCAGGAAATCTGATCTAGAGATTTTACAATGGTAAGCAGATGGAAGCGTGTACCTTCTCCAGGAAAAAAAAAAAAAGTTTTACTTGTAAATGTCTGGGTTTTCTTCAAAGATGGAAGATAATACTACGTCACAAGAACAGGGGAAACAAGATAAATAAATTATAGTGGTTGACAGTACTATAATTTGGCCTGAGAAAGGTAAAGGTAGCGGGGGCAAGCATTGGCTTTGTCATTAAATATAAAACATAAAAAAAAAAAAAAAAAAAAAAAAAAAAAAGACGAAACAGCAACAAGTGGGATATAGGGAAACTAATAATCATTTTCAAATTTCAAATAGGGAAACTTTCAAAAAGGTCTGGAAAGAAGACAGGAATTAGGTTTCTACAGAGGGCACCCTTTCTTGCCTATGCCAAGTTCTTATGTAACTGAGGTAAAAAGGTTAAAAAAAAAAAAAGAGTGAAAGAGTGAAAAATAATAGTAGAATCATGATCTACTTAGAAAAAACAATGGAGGTTCACACTGGCTAATTCACACTGAAGCTGAGCTCTTTTCCATTTCCACTTGCATGTGAAAGCTGAAAAAGAAGGCTGTTCATTGGACAAGTCATGCTGTGCTTCTCATCTCCTGGCTAGTTAAGAGAGGGGTAAGGCAAAGTGAGGCACAAGTGAAAGTCACTATGATAAAAGTTACTAGGCCAAGGGCTTAACTTTAAGAGCAACTGGGCAAATAAGAAAAACATAGGACAACTGCTTTTCACTTAGGAGAATTCTTCATTGGCTAGAAATTCCCTCTTCATATACTAGTTTCTCTTTCTGCCTCATAGAAATGAAAGCAGAAGTGATATAACGAGCTTTTATTGTTACGAAAGGAACTTAGGAAAGCAAGCCAGGATCCTGATCCGAGTTTGGGAGAGATAGGGTGCATGCCTAGGGGCACCATGGATGAGACTCTAGCAAAAGAAGGAGATCTGGGTATTTTGTTCTACAAAAGAAACCCTAAATTTCTGAAACTCTACTGTTCAGATGCAAATATCTATGGAAGGGCAGAGTGAAATAGGTCTGACTTCCTGGGTAGAAAAAAACTTTGTTTCTCTACCAAAGAAAGGATAAAAAGATAAGGAACATGTTGCTAAGTTAAAAACTTGTCCAAGGGGCCGGCCCGTGGCTCACTCGGGTGAGTGCGGTTCTGATAACGCCAAGGCCACGGGTTCAGATCCTATATAGGGATGGCCGGTTAGCTCACTGGGTGAGTGTGGTGCTGACAACACCAAGTCAAGGGTTAAGATCCCCTTACTGGTCATCTTTTAAAAAAAAATAAAAATAAAAAAATAAAAAATAAAAACTTGTCCAAGAAGAGAAAAGAAAATAAGAAAAAGAAGAGCTCAGAATAATGTTTATGGGGTCTGATTGCATTATTTTATGTGAGGACTACCAGCAACCTAAGACATGAAAGGTTGGGGGGGCACTTAGAATATAAAATTTCCTCTGATATTTTCCCTGCAGAGATCAAATTTCTAGTTAATGAAGGGAAGAGGAGTGGGGGACTCTCTCTCTCCCCAGTCATTTCTTCTCCTCCCTTAGCATTTATTAAATCTCAGGGATGTATGTCATAATTGGGATAAAACTCCTTGTTATATTCTGATGAAAGCTGTGTATCTACTCTTCAAAAGAATATACATGTACACAATTTTAGGGAATTCATGGAATCCCTGATGCCCTAGGAGTCCATAAATCCAAGGTTACAAATCCCTCTTCCAGAGGCATCCAATGGAATGGCTGATCAACAGGACACAGGAGTGCAAACTCCTTATCACTCTAAAGTGCAGGACTCATGATTTTGCCTTAAGTAAAATCTCATAAACACCCACTATCTTCAAAAGCTTTTCCAGAACTTCAAATGACATTAACACCTGGTTTTGAGAGCTCTCTCTTCTGAATAAGAAATCTTATGCAGGTTTGGGGGAGGAAAGTTATTTCAACAAGACTAATCTGAACTGAAAAAGTAACAAGAAATAAACAATTTATCTATTCTGGATATATGAAATTATTCAGAATTTTTTCAGGTATAATTTTTTTTTTTGTCTTTTATGTGACCGGTAAGGGGATCGCAACCCTTGGTGTGGTGTCGCCCGCACCGTGTTCAGCCGAGCGCACCGGCCATTCCTATATAGGATCCGAGCCCGCGGCGGGAGCATCGCTGAGCTCCCAGCACCGCACTCTCCCGAGTGCGCCACGGGCTCGGCCCAGGGTTGCAAAACTTAAAAGTCTGCAAATACACATGGCTTTCTAAATTTCTTTTAAAATGCCTGTGTATATGACTTCCCCTCAGATGAGGGGATCATTTTTTTTTTTTTCCTTTTTGTCTTTTTCCGTGTCCGGCAATGGATCGCAACCCTCAGTGTCGCCCCTGTACCGGACCGGGACCAGCAACGGGATCGCAACCCTTGGTGTTGCTCCCGCGCCTCGCTCAGCCAGTGAGCGGGAACGGTCTGTATGTGGGATCCGAACCCTCGGCGGGAGCGCCGCCGCGCTTCCCAAGCGGCGCACTATAGCAGTGCGCCACCGGGCCGGCCCGAGGGGATCATTTTTGAATTGGGGGAAAGAAATTATGGTTTGCACAGCACATCAAGAAACTGTTTATTAAGTTACACTCACTTTAATTAACCAGTTCTCAAAAACTACAGTAAATTACCAGGCATGAATATAGCCAAAAAGAAACTATGGTTTTTCAATTTTATTTGGCTTTAACTTTATATTCTCACCACAGAATATTTCTACTAAGTAAATTACAAAGCTCTCTGTATGGTTATATGAACAAAATAAGGGAAGAAATAGTTTAATATTATGAAGGGAAATTCATATGAAGAAAAAATAGATGTAACATTTATACTGAAATCTAGTACAAATAACAGAAACCCTATTAAAGCAACATTGATTTATTTATAATAATCACTATCATAATGTGAAGGCAGGGTTTTGTTTGTTTTTTTTTTTTTTTTAAATAATGGATAATTCTTATATAGTTTAATCAAAGACTGTTTCTTGGGCTGGCCTGGTGGCACACTGCTACAGTACGCCGCTTGGGAAGCGCGGCGGCACTCCCGCCGAGGGTTCGGATCCCACATACAGACCGGTTCCAGCTCACTGGCTGGGCGAGGTGTGGGCGCGACACTGAGGGTTGCGATCCGTTGCCGGACACGAAAAAAGACAAAAAGGAAAAAAAAAAGACTGTTTCTTTACCCCCAAATGTTATAATTTGGGAAGTTTTACATATTTACATGTGTCTTAACTTTATAGAACATTTATTAACTAAAACGATTCCCCCTTGAACAATTTGCTAAGTGTCAACGTACTTGTTTTGAGTGTCAAGATATTATCATTTCATGAAAGATCTCTTTTATTTTATTTCTTAAGAAGAGTTAATGTTCTTGAGAGAATGAGCCACTTGTAACTCATCTCTGTACCTTTTGTGCCTGGCAGAATGGCTGGCACAATGCCTGGCAATGAAGAGGTGCTCAAATAAATATGAGTAAGCTTTGTTGTTGATTTTGCTAGCAAGTTTTATGTGCTCTAATCTCACGTTATAACCTTATTTCTTTGACAAAAGAGAAGGTCCATGTGTTTTATTTCTCTAAGCAGTTAAATATTTATAAAATAGTTTTATTTTTCCTATACATAGTTTACATTATTAAATGGAAGGTACTGTATTCTGGTCATCAAAGTAAAGAGGCTCAGTCACTCTTACTCTCAAATTACTTATGGTTTGCACAACACATCAAGAAACTATTAAGTTACACTCACTGAGTTAGCCTCAGTCTCTCTTCCTCTCAAATTACTCTCAAACTCCACTCAGTGCATTAAAAAAAAACCCTTAGCTCCTTGCTCCTTCTTAAGTATCTTCCCTGGAAATGAAGAATGACAGATTCATCTTTTTTAATTTTATTTTTGCAGCTGGCTGTTACAGGAATCTGAATACTTTACATTGGTGTTATAACCTTTTTATTTTTAATTAAAGAGAAAACATTTTCTTAGTTGACAGAAACTGGGAGGAATGTGAAGTGTGAATAAACCCTTCCCATACTGGCGTTGCCAAACAGCACAATAATTCTATTCTTTTAATCACCACCTTTAGAACCACAACCAAGTCTTTCAAGTCTCTGGGACCATCGTTAACTTTTCTATAGTGATATTATTTCTCTCTCTGTTTTCTAGAGAAAACTGAATGCCTATTTTCTGAGGTCACTAAATAAAGAGGCTTCCAATTTTCCTCAGAAGTAAATGTATGAATATTTTTGGACGTGCTAGATAAGGAAGGGCCGAATTAGGCCCTTGGGACTTTTATAAAATAAGTTCTTTTAATTAGAAGAACACAAAGTTCTTGGGAGGATAAAGGATTTGCATCTGAAAAAGTAGTAAGATGAATATTTAGAAGTGGCAATCTATAGGCCTCCACACCACTGCAATTTGAGTAAAGACTTTGTATCAGGAACTGCCTGCTAAATAACAAATGACCAGAAAATGAGATGAGGGCAACCCTTTGAAAAGTTAAACACCGCTAAGCATGTTACAAATGCACAGTATCCATTCAAAATCATCTAAACGGGGTGTCACAACAATCAAACAACCAAATGCAATGTGGGAACCCTTATTATATCCTGGTTGTACGTATGTGTACTAGCAGCAGGGCAGAGGATAGGTAGGAAGAGGAGGGAGAGCAGTTGTGAAAGACATTCTTAGAGCAACTGGAGAAAACTGATTATAAGTTGTGGTGGATGCTGTTGGTGCCTCACTCAGTGTTTCTTTACCTAGCCTGTGCATCCATCCTTACCCTTCACCCCCTCCTTCTGCTAGCTGCTAATGGCTCACAGATGTCCCATTCTCATCTTCAACCTGATCCCACAGGGAGCTCAGGAGTATGAACTGCACCACACTCCCACCTTGAGGCAGGAGAGCTCGGGCCCATATCAGTTAGTCATTGGCTATATAGGCTATGGGGAAGAGCAAAGTGGCCTAGGCCAACTCTCTGAAATATTTAAGGGGCAAAGAAGTATGTCTGCGACTTTTAAATGGTGCAGTTAAAATACACACGCACTTGCACAAATACAGATAAAGTATGGCAAAATGTGGTAAACGTCTCATTGAGAAGGATCTAGATGGAGACTTTAAGAACATTCATTACATTATTCTTTCAACTTTTCTGAAGGCCTAAAAGTTTTCATAATAAAAATTTGAAGAGAAAAAAAGGAGGGGTATGTCAGCCCAAAGCATGCTTTTTCTTTTGTGGGTTGCCATCCTGATACTGATGTCCAGATCTGACCAGCAGTCCAAAGAAAACCTGCCAGTCATCTTAAATGCATTCTCATTTTCCACCTGAGGTTGGTCACTGGATCATGTCGATTCCACCTATGAAATAATCTTCCCTCTCATTGCCCCCATTCAGGTTTGTTGCTTTTCTAGCCTGGATTACTACTACAACTGCCTCTTAATTGGGCATGTTTCTTTTAGTATTACCACTTCCACTCTATCCATTTGTCATTTAGTAGCTAGATTCATCATTATAAACTGCAGTTATAATCATAACATTCCCCTCCTTAAATTCTTTCAGTGTTTCCTCATTGTTTACACTAAGATAAACTTCTAACTCCTTGATGTGGTTCACAAGACCTTTGTAACAGAGCCTCTAGCTTACCACTCTAGCTCCATCTCCTGACATTTGTACCCACCCCCTAAGCATTATCCATTCTGAACAACTTTAACAATTCCTTGAATATGCCATGACCTTCCTTGGCTTTTGAGTCTAAGAACACTATGCCTGGAATGCCTTCCTCCCTCTCTGTACTGCTGGCAAATTCCTACTCATACTTCAAGAATTAGTCCAAATTTTGCCTCCTCTGGGAAGGCTTCCCTGAACTCTCCAGGTAGTTATGTGGTCCCTATTTTGTATCCCCATAACCTCTTATAAAGCTCTCATAACATTTATTACACTCCTGTAAGTTACTGTTTACAGGTCTATTTTTACTCTAGTTAAGACCAGGAAGGCAGGGACTGGACTCTTCATGTGCATCCTTAACATCCAGCACAACGCTGGCCACTATGCTTCATAAATGTCTGATGAAAAGCCAACATTTTTAGCATTATAAACTTACTACAGCTGGTGAAGGAACATGAATGCTTGGGACAGACCGAGGCCGCACATGATTGGCCAAATGGCAAAGAACAACACCATCAGTTAGAGCTGCTCCAAGATCACATGGCAGAGATACTTTCAACCGGTACTCAATATGCTAAAAGAACAGGGAAACGTGTAATTAATTAATTGAAGAGTGACTGACACATACGGCATAATGGAGTTACAATGGAATATATTTCATGAGAAATCAAGATAAAAAGGAAATAACAATCCCTATTTTATCCTTCTTTCTTAAGTCAATAACTTAAGGAGATCTAATATATCTCCTGTATGGCAGCCAGACCACAGTGGTACAAAGTACAACGGAAAGTCATTGACAATTTTCTGATTAAAGAAAAACTGGATTCTCTTTCAAGATAAAATGAATGGCCAATCACTCACTATATATATGTAAGAGTGATATGTACACGTTAATGTGTACAGGCATAAAAATTATTACTCTTACAAGATTTCTTTATAACATGAGGTAGAAAGGAAAATATTTTTTCATCAGTAGGGCCTGGAATTGAGCTTTACAGAATAACCCATCTCATTTTCTTAGAAAACAGTTAAGAAGTATTTCCTTAATAGCAAAATTTCTTTTACATTCATCATAGAACACAGCATACAATGGGCACTTAATGAGGTTCTATTAAATACTAGATGTCAAATAAATAAATGATTGCAAGATTATGGACTACAGTAGTATCCCAGAAAAAGGTGAATGTACACACTTTCCGTAGTTGATCAATTAATTCCAGCTCTTCTTCTCTATGTCTTGAATTCTGTCTTGTAATGGGAACTGCAGAATCAGTGGGAGGTGCACAAGATGGAAGAAGGGGTGATATATGACCTGAAAAAATTTAATTTGTAAGATAGACAGAAAGGCAATTGCTAGTGTTAGAAAAATACCCAGAACTGCCTGATCACAGTTTCCTTGAAAGTATAGTATGTTTTACTTTCTGAACTGACTTTTTAAAAAGGTTTTCATTATGAAAATTTTCAAAACACATAAAATAGTAGGGAGAACAGTATAAAAAACTATGAAATGTCCATTACCCATCTGGCTCAACAAATTTTGTTTGTTTGATTACATCCATTTAAAAATATTTTTATTGAAAAATAACACATATAGAAAATTAATACTGCCATCCACCAAAAAGAAAAGAAAAGAAAAGAAAGAAAGAAAGAAAGAAAGAAAGAAAGAAAGAAAGAAAGAAAGAAAGAAAGAAAATTACACAAATCATAAGCATAGAGCTCAATAAATTATCCTCACAAAGCAAATACAACCAGGCTGATAAACAGAACATTACCAATAACCAGAAGGCCCTCTGATGCTCCCTGACCATTAGTAACCAAAGGTTTACCAGTATCCTGACTTCTATCACCACAGATTAGTTCTGTCCATTTTTAAACTGTATTGTACATATTCTTTTGTGTCTGGCTTCTTTTGATCAACATTATGTTTATGAGATTTACCCATGTTGTGGATAGTAATTTGTTCATTTTCATTGCTTATATGGTATTCCATTGTACAAATATATCACAATACGTTTACCTATTCTATCAATGGACATTCAATTTGGAGTATTATGAATAATACTGCTATGAATATCTTTTATGTGTCTTTTAGTATACACATGTACATAGTTCTGAAAGTAAAATTGATGGTCATAGGGTATACAAATGTTCAACATTAGTTGATATCACGGTTTTCCATACTAATTTACCCTATCACCAGCAGTGCATCTCTGGTTTGACTTTTAAATCTTAACTGTGAACGTGTGTGTTGATTACATTAAAAGTAGTTATTTTTGATGAAATTTTTTTTTCCACTTCCAGGTAACTTCTTTGGGAGCCAGGCAGAAATTTTTCATATTAACTAAAAGAACATGAGACTTTAAGTAGATTTTTAAAAATATTACTGATTTGTATCTTTAAGAACACAGAAAACTTTTATCAATACAAAAATCTTGAAAAAGAGCTCATTAGAAAGAAGAGGAACATTCTTTAAAGCTTTGAAAGAGCATTTTATTGTTCGAACACTCTATAACCAGCTTTTAGGTGATACTAAGAAACATTCTAATGAAAACAAGTTCAGACAAGAGCCTCCTGACAATGTCAGAGAGATCACAGATACATTGAGAGTTTAAAGCTTTTGCAAGGTGATGGCTAGGTGTAGAAGTTTAAAAGCATATAACAGTCGATATCACTGTGTAAACAACAATTCCAGCACCCCCACACCTTTCCCTTTTAAATCACTACTACCTACCTTTATTTGTTTCTGCCCTGACAGCTGCTCGGAAAAGGAAGCTTTCAGGGCGCTGGGGTTGATTTCTCTGGATAGCAGCAGGAAAAGAATATGCAGGGGAACGATGAACTAAATCAGCATAAAAAAGCAAAATGATATTAAAAGAAATGAAAAGAAAATTAAACATAACAGCAGGCACACGTCACAAAATTTCAATAAATAGCAAGTAAAGAAAAAAATTAAACATGACTGATATAAAATGATAATTCTGTTTATTAATGAAAAGTCTGGTACAAAAAAGTAATCCTGAAAGCAGGAAGGCTGCTTGTATGTGTTTTTAATTGCTGTGTTATTTTTGGTATATCAATAAAGGTAGAATGAATGTTAATATATCAACCATAGGAGCTTGTAAACCTATAGCCCTGGTAGCTCATGCTCATTTGTTCTTGTCAAATGGCTGAATAGTTGAATAACCAGTTGAATTAAAAAATAAAAAATGCTGGGGCCGGCCTGTGGCTCACTTGGGAGAGTGTGGTGCTGACGACACCAAGGCCACAGGTTCGGATCCCATATAGTGATGGCCGGTTCGCTCACTGGGTGAGCGTGGTGCTGACAACACCAAGTCAAGGGTTAAGATCCCCTTACCGGTCATCTTTTAAAAAATAAAATAAAATAAAATAAAAAAATAAAAAACGTGCAGAAAGTTCCTAATTTTGTTTCTGATTTCCATCGCAGAAAAAGAAGCCACAGTTCTCTAAGAAGTAACTTATCAGGAAAATCCTGGTAATTATAGTCTTGATGTGGACAATTGCACCTTTGTGTCTATTACCTGTTTCTGTTGTAGGTGAACTTGATATAGCATTAGATCTGTCATCACTCTGTGGGAAAACAGAAATATATCAATAGCTATTATTCAAGAAGAGATCATTTCCACATTTATGTTAACTTTGAGATCATAAAAGAAAAAAACGTACAACTCTCCTTCAAAATTAAGTCAAAATTAAATGAAAATTTGATGAAATGAATTAATTTTTTTTTAAAGCCAAACTTTTTATTCCATTGTGTTTATGTAATGCATTCCCTAAAGATACTTCCATTATCTGACAGGCTTTTGCTAAGACTATGAGAAATCATCATCCTATGGCAGAAAATTTTATTGGGAAATATACAGGAAAGAACAAAATTGTATTTTCTAAAAGTATTTTTCTGGAATAGTTTCTTAAGTATTTTTTCCTCTGTAAAATAAAGTTTAATATTTTAAGAAAGAGTGATGGAGGTTTCTTCATTTCAGTTAGGCAATGAGGTGTTTAAGAAATGATAAGTAGATGTATTTTCTAGACTAGTATTTGAGTCCAAGATGTTTTTAACTCATTGATCAAAAGAACTGTAAAAAGAAGGAAGAACTGTAAAAAGAAGGAAGAACTAGCTAAACTGGTATAAAAAAGGGAAATGTAATTAAGCTAATTTAAAAAGAAATGTTGGTTGGTTGGGTTAAAGATGTTGAAGACTTGGTAGGGGAGTAGAATCAAGAAAAGCTGGAATACTATCAATAATTTTGTAGGCCCTGACATCTAATTAAATTTAATATAACTTAAATATATTATAACTTTATGATAAGACGTACTTCTGAATGGAACGACTTTAAAACTAACATACATATCTGCTCCCATGTTTTCCCCCCACCTTTGGTTTCAATATTTTCAAAAATCTTATATTTCAAATTAGAGTTGAGTCAGATCCAAGTAATGACTAAAGAGAATTTTAATTGCTAATAAATAAGTAAATAAATAAATAAACAAACAGAAATCAGGACATTGTTGAGAAAATTCTTGGACTGATCTGGAGACAATTTTCTGGTAACAATTCCTTAGTTTGATACCCGTAGGCTGAGAATTAAGATTTAAAAAGTAAGCTGTGTTCTTCAGTAAAGCACTGTATTATCTCTTCAGTGAAAAAGACATGTTCATCAAGTTTACAGATGCAAATAAACTACGTTTTGGGTGTTGAGAAAAAAAGAAAATTTAAATAAGAAAACAACTTATTTTATTTTATTTTATTTATTTATTTTTTTTCCTTTTTGTCTTTTTTCGTGACCGGTAACGGGATCGCAACCCTCAGTGTTGCGCCCGTACCGCGACCGGCAACGGGATTGCAACCCTCGGTGTCACGCCCGCACCGCGCTCAATCAGTGAGTGGACCAGTCTCTATATGGGATCCAAACCCTCGGCGGGAGCGCTGCCACGCTCCCAAGCGCCGCACTCTACCGAGTGCGCCAACAGGCTGGCCCTTATTTTATTTTATTTATTTATTTATTTTTTAAAAAAAGATGACCGGTAAGGGGATCTTAACCGTTGACTTGGTGTTGTCAGCACCACGCTCACCCAGTGAGCAAACCGGCCATCCCTATATGGGATCCGAACCCGGGGCCTTGGTGTTATCAGCACCGCACTCTCCCGAGTGAGCCACGGGCCAGCCCAAGAAAACAATTTAAAACAAAAGTAACAGAAACTTGTCAAAGAAATCAACAGGCAAATGTGGCAAAAACTGGATATCTTCATGAGGAAACAAAAGGCTATCCTTATTTCCAAGGGATGTGAGACAGGAAGGAGAAAGTTAGCTAAACAAAGGCATGTTCAAGGACCAATAGTACAAACAGAAAAACATTAAAGATAGAGATTATTCTAGATACAGAGAAAAAATATTTAAAAAAGAAATTTTAAAAGACTTATTAATAGGGTGCTGGTAACACGACGGTCAAGAGTTTGGATCCCCACACTGGCCAGCTGCCAAAAACAAAACAAAACAGAAAAAAGACTTATTAATAGGACACAGACTAGGAATTTAATCATATTAAGGGATAAAAGGAAAAAGCTAATAGGCAACTTTATTAGATGAGAAGGAAAAGCTGAAACAAATAACGCTGAAGGGTAGTGAATGTTCTCTACCTCTAGAAACAGCAACAGAACATACACAATTGGATGTGATGAAAACAAAGCTAGAATGGAGGGGACTTGTAAAATGATGATTTTCTTTCTTTTTTTTTCTTTTTATTTTTCTTTTTGGTGGCTGGCTGGTAAGAGGATCCAAATGACCTTGTAAAATGAGGATTTTAAAAACGTACTTTTATTAAAACTATAAATCTAAGTGACTTATATCCTAAGATACTAAAATAATTAGTTTAAATCACTCTGGGGCCATTAGTTATGTTTGAGTTATGTTTGGGAACTCTTGGAGAAATGGAGAGCAAAAAAAGGTTAAATAATAATCTCAGAAATTGACATGAACTCAACTTTAAAGCCTTGCTAAGCAAAAAAAAAAAAAAAAAAAAAAATCATGCCTAATTATAGTGTATTAACTACTGTAAAAATAATTGAGATGACAAAATATAAAGAATAAATTTTTAAAACTAATCATTTGACAGTACAGCAGGAAGGACTGATTGACAGGAGAGTTAGACTTATCATCTATCTTAAATCTAGTAAAGTTTTAGCATTAATTTCATATGATAGTCAGTATAAAACAAAAAAATATGGTCTAAATCACACAAGCTTTTTGACACATTCAGATCTGGCCCTTTTCAACTATGAAGCTGAAAGAGAATAAGCTCCAACGCCCTAAGGTATCCATTGAATGAATGCATCCAATACATCTAGAACGGTACTAGTCATGTACCTTTCTTGAGAGAATTTTGAAAAAAGTTGTTGAAATAATTTTCTGTGTTGTCTTTCAAATAAGGAACCCAGTTGAGAAATGCTGGCAAAGAGCTAACATGAAAGAAAATTACAGATAAAGTTTTTTCATCCAGGAGTCATCTAGGTACATACAGCATCTTCAATAACAAGCAGAGGGCTGGCTGGTTAGCTCACTTGGGAGAGTATGGTGCTAATAACGCCAAAGTCAAGGGTTTGGATCCCCTTACTGGCCAGTTGCAAAATAAATAAATAAATAAATAAATAATGAGCAGAAAGAAGGTTGATCAGGTTTATAGATTATATAAAAAAGTTGGGGGTCAGTATTTCCAAGCACATGACTGAAGAATTTTAAAGTATTCTGGTAAATTAGAGAAGTAAAAATGTTCAAATAGCAAAATTAAATTATTCAGGAAAAAAAAAGATACATGATTTTAGCAGTAAAACTAAGACATGTGAGGATTACAGTGGACACTGAACAAAATGAATACCAAAACTGAAAAAGCCAACCTAAAGCTCAAGGTAAGCCATGTGAAAAACACTGTTTCATGCTTAGTGCCAGGTGGGCTCTAATGAGGGATTATTTCTAGTTGTGGACTGTGGAGCCAAAATGGACAGCAGAGAATTTGTGAGAGTTCATTAAGGATTGACAGGCTGGGAAAGGCATGTAAAAGGATCTGAATTTCTTTAGGGAGAAGAAAAGGGTGGCATTGTAATAGTTTTCAAATATAAAGATTCTTACAGAAAGATTGCTAAACCTCTACTCTGGAAAGAAAATAAGAAATAAGTGTAAACCACAGCAGGATAGATAAAAATTAGACAAAGAGAGGAGCTTCTTGACAGTAAGAATTATTAATCATTTCTTACATATGGTAACAAAAATGGAATTACCATTCCTAGAGGCCGTCAAAAAATAAAATATTACAGGTTCTTAATTTTTAGAGTTTATATTCAATTTTTTTAGAAGGTGGAATCTGTCATCTCATAATGTTACTGCTGATATAAAGCAGAGGCTGGCAATTTTTTTCTTCGAGGGCCAGATAGTAAATATTTTAGGCTTGCAGCCTTGTTGCAACTATTCTAACTGCTGTTTACTGCAAAAGCAGCCACAGGCAATGCATAAACAAAAGGGATTGTCTGTGTACTAATAAAACTTTATTTACAAAAACAAGTGATCTTGGGGACAGCGTTGGCTGACCTCTACTGTAGAGGATTCTGGTAGTGGTATAGTTTTATGGACTGGGACTCAAATTATTTTGCATGCACATTAGACAACAGAACTAATTTGATAATATAAATTTAACCAAAGTCAAATAATAACTCACGATAAAAGAAAACCTTTCATAAGAAAATGAGAATGACATTTCAAACAGAATGTGAATATAAAGAATTAATGCAGGCTCTATGATTATCTCTGGCATGATTTTATCACTTTCAAAAAATTTCAAGTGAGGGGCCGTCCCGTGGCCACTTGGGAGAGTGTGGTGCTGATTTTACCAAGGCCAAGGGTTTGGATCCCTACATAGGGATGGCCAGTTAGCTCACTTGGGAGAGCATGGTGCTGACAACACCAAGTCAAGGGTTAGGATCCCCTTGCTGGTCTTTAAAAAAATAAATAAATAAATAAATAAATAAATAAATAATAAAACAAATAAAAATTTCAAGTGAAATCAGTTAAATTCAAATAGTTTCATAAGCTTAGGTATTATTTCACACAACTCTAGATTTCAAATTGTTCTTACACCAATCCACTAGAAAATCTTAGACCTCCCTTATATATTCCCTCCCCAAATTTCCTGGTGAATTATAGTTACAAGAGATAACTTAAGAGGTGTGAAGGCAGAAGAATGAGGCAGGGTTGCAGCACAGCCCACTTGATTCAACCCTGACAGCGACTAAATTTCAAAAGAAGAAGAGAAGAAACAGAAGGCAGCATTTATGTTAGCAAAATATCAGACAGGCAGATCTGACCAGTGAAATTAGAAGAGAAAAGGTCATTTACAAACTTTCGAATGGTTTACTAAGATATTGGGAGGTCAGAAAAAGAATATTTTGAGTAAAAAAACCCCATCATTTATACAACATAGTTTTTTCACTTGTATAATTCAGGACTTTCTTAATACTTCATACCACATTAATCAAGAAATGAGATGCATGATTTATTAAAAATAATTTTATATAGAAATAAAACTGAGAATATCAACATTTTTAACACAACAGCCTTGAAACTAATGAGTCCTGTGCTGTTCCTATATGGGGGAAATAAATCCAGTCAAAGAGCTCATTTTCACTGAGCAGAACTGGCATGAATAAGAACAATATTTGTTTAATATTAATCCAAACTAGATTTATTATCATTCAATTTAATGGCTCTGATGTGACAAGACAGGACACAAGGATTCGGTATCATATGTTAAGGATAAAGCAGCATTTCATTTCTGCCTCTGGAAAAGTCCAAATAACGTCTGAGAGGATAAGGTGGAATTTCCCTTTTCTTTGAATCCTTTATCTTTCACCAACCAACATAAAACTAGTTAGATGTATTAGAGATACAGTTAGAGATACTAAATATTAGAATCTATTGTATAATTATTTGTCAATTAAAAATAAAAAAAAAATCTAGTATACAGAATTTTTTTTTTTTTTTTTAAAGATGACTGGTATGGGCCGGCTGGGTGGCGCACTGGATAAGTGCGCCGCTTGGGAAGCGCAGCGGCGCTCCCGCCCGAGGGTTCGGATCCCACATACAGACCGGTTCCCGCTCACTGGCTGAGCGAGGTGCGGGAGCAACACCGAGGGTTG